TGTGTGTGTGTGTGTGTGTGTGTGTGTGTGTGTGTGTGTGTGTGTGTTGGGGAAGGGAGGGTCTTGTTTTATTTTCCTCCTCCTAAAAGACACCCTGGCTACACCTGCAAAAGAAGGCAAATAAATTACTGTGCAGATGGAAACAGGAAAGCGGGAGCAAAAGTCCAAGAGAAAAACCATCCTAGGGAAACAGGCAACTCCGGCAAGCCCTACTTACGTGTTCCGTCGAAACGGGTGGCGATAGTGTCCAGGAAGGTGTTCTGAGGAGCCAGTAATCCTTTCATAACCGGCATTTTTCCAGCCCGGTGTGAAATTCCCCATCAAAGTTTGTCCAGGAGGATGGCTCCGCAGGAAAGTGCCAAGCTGGGAGAAGCCACCAGGAGCGTGATGACGGCAGGGGCGGGGGGCCAGGCGTGCTGAGGATGGGGCCGGGCAAGGAAGAGGGGAGGGTGGCAGCAGAAGGGGCTACTCCCCGGCCGCCGCGCCGTGCCCAGAGCAGCCCGCGATCGAGGCTCTGAACCCGCCTAGATCCAGGCTTCTTCCTCCACCCCCTCTTTTTCCTGCCGCGACACCCCCAGTCTCTCCGTAGAGCCTTTGAGAGCCCACAGTGGCCCGGAGCGCCGCGCCCTGACCGGAGGAGCTCTAGGGTCGTGGAGGACGGCGCCCCATCTGGGGAGATTGCGGCGCTGAGCCTCTAGTACCCCAGAGACTCTGAGAAACCAAGAAACGCTCAGCAGAGCAACTCCCGCCCCCCAGGAGCCGGGAACAAAGACCCCTTTGTTCCAGCTCTGTCCCTCTCCCAGGAGCTCGGAGTCCCGTGGGTGTGGTGTCGTGGCGGGGAGGAGATAGGTCACCGCAGGTAACCCGCCTCCGCCTAGAACTTGGGAGGGAGAGGCCCCCCACCGTGGTGTCCTAGGTAGCGAACGCAGCCTGGGGCTCCGGAGGGAGGTGGCCCCCTTCCGGCGCACCTGCCATCCCCAGCTCCAAGTCAGCGGGGTGCCTGCCACTCCCGACCACCAGGGTCTCCTCCACACCGGAAAACCGACCCAAGAGGGAGGTTTTCCGAACTCTCCTTCCCCAGCTCTGAAAGAGAATCCAGGTACCCCGCCCCCTGCCAATTTCCCATTGCTCCCTCCAAACCACCCAAACTAAAAGGGGGAAAAAAAAAAAAAAAAAACTTCTCAAATGGGTGATGGTTTCCCACCCTCCCGTGAAATGTGCATAGAGCGTTTCTAAAAAAGTTTGCTGTTTTTTATTGGTTTACAAAATTCGTGAAAGTAACAGAGGTGAGTTTTTCGTGTAAAAAACAGTTTCAATACGATTTCCTCCTCCGCGGCAAGTGGTCCCCACCCCCACTCCAAGACCTGCCTGGCGCCGGGAGCTGCAGGTACCGCGGAAAACTGAGCGATTTCTCGGCCTCTACCTGGGGCTCGCGAGGGGACTCCCTCTCCACCTACATCACGCTAAGGAAAGCCACCCAAACCTAGGTGCCTCTCTGCGGGAGGGCAAAGGGCTGGCGGGTGGACCCCAGCTTCCACTGAAACCCTAGCAAGGAGGAAAGGGAAAGTTAAAGAGTCCAGGAGAGAAGAACAAACAGAAGCACAGGTGCTGCTGCACCCGGAAAGGAGGGAGGGAAGCGCGAACAGGTGTCTGAGGCGCTGCGGAGACCGCTGGGTCCCCGCCTCCGGGATTCGGGCGTGGCAGCAGGTGCCAGCGGCCCCAGAACATCTGGCAAGGGATCTTTGCCGGAATCGCTGGGGATCCCAGGGGTGAGGAGGGACCCTAGGGGTTTCCTCGCTGCGGTCCTGGGCTCCGCGAGGGCGGGGTGAGAGAGAAAGGAGGCGGTTCCTTGTTCCCGCCCCTGGTCCCCCTTATTCGTGATGCACTTCCGGCCTCCGAGGATTCCCTTTGTGTTGAGATTCCAGATCCGCCCGTCATACTACGCGTGAGCGGGAAGGCCCGGGATTCCGGGTGGGTGGCTGCCCCCTGAGGCTCAGGCTGTGCTCAGGCTCAGGCTGTTTTTTTTTTTTTTTTTTTTTTTTTTCAATTTTTTTCCTTTTCCGTTTATGTTACTGCTACTGATCAGCCGTACAACCCCTCCCCCAACCCTACCCTAGCCAATGCTCTGTTTGGAGCCAGTTGTTCCTTGCTAGAAAACATAGCTAATCTGGTGCCCCCGCACACCCACGCACACACCCACGCAGCTGAGCTTTGCTGACTCCTTCTTGGGCTGAGCCAGGAGAGAGAAGGAGGAGTCTGCTTCTGCATGAGTGGTGCCGGTGCCCAAGAAAACATAGGCTTCCTCTGCCAGGGGAAGAGTGGGAAGTGGCTTGAAGCTAAGCATGAAATGTATGCGTAAGCAAGCCACTGTTCAGATTCATAATTATTTGCACTTGTAAGTGTGCTTGAGTGTGAAAAACAAAAACAACAAAAACCAAAACTGTTACCTTTTTAGTCTGGCCTCACTTGTTAGAAAGAAACCATACAGGGTCTTAATAGTAGAAACCCAAAAGGCAGTTTGGGTTCCGTGGCAAAGGGAGTCAACCGTGTACCATCTCATAATTTAGCCTTTCCTTCGATACCCAGAACAAGTCAAGCTAGTACTAGGCAGCGCATCCCTTGGCTCCTTTGGGTCCAGGCCTCTCACCAAGCTGTGTTTAGTAAGCGGACCACACTCTGTTCCTTTTTCTACCCGGATGTCCTTCTTACGAAGACATCCTTCATCACATGCTTAAACAGGGGCCTCCATTGCTATCATTGATCAGAAAAACTATTTGTAAGGTAACATGGCAGCTCCTCTGTTTCTACCAAACAATTACTTGTGTCACTTATTTGAAGAGCCCATTGATGATTCATCTCTGAGGGAGAGGGAGAGAGGAAGGGGTAGTAAGGCATGTATTTGGATTCCAGCAAACCTCATCTGTGAGAAGGCAAATCACAGCACAGTATGATTGTTAATTTTGATCTTACTTGGTTAGCTTAAGAAATGCCACTAGTGAGTCTGTGTGTGAGAGAGAGAAAGAGGGAAAGAGAGAGTGAGTGAGGGCAATTCTAGAATAATCAAGTGTGGGAAGACTCACCCTGGATGCCAATGTCACCAGCCTGATGTGCTGGGATCTAAGACTAAACAAAAACCAAAAAAGAAGCAAGGCACCTGAACATCAACTTTGGGCTAGAATTGAGGAGACTTGGATGTCTGCTGCCAAGAATAACCACCTCATAATTTTGTGATAAATCAGTGAGTTAATTGTGAAAGTCAAACATTGAGTTGCCAAATTACCGTAAGGACCAATAAATGTAGAAGGCTATTACTTTAGTTTAATTGTACTTACCTTCATTTTAAGAAGTTGCCTAGCTGTCTCCAAGGGTGTGAGTATGGGAGAGTCTACCCTGCCTCTTGTCTGCTGGGCCGTGGTGTGGACTAGAGAGAATTCCTCCTCCCCTCCCTAGTTGCTCACCATCTATGGCAAGCAGGAGAGCTGGCCCTCTGGTCATGAAAATGGGAGAATTGACCATGTCCCTCACTGCAACACTATGGAGAGAGCCCCTGTTCCTCACCTGGGCAGCAATGTAGAGCTGGCCCTGGTTATAGGCACTGCTGGTGAGCCGGCCCTGAGGGCATAAGAGCAGGAGAGCTGGGTGGCTGACCCGTTCAGATACTTCTCAGGCCTGGGCTTTGAACTGGCCCATCCCACATCTACCCATAGAGGAGCTGCCAGAGTGCATAAAGGGGCCAGTTCTACAGATCCAAAACCACAGCATCTCCATGACACAAGACAAAACCAGATATCTGAGAGAAGCCCCAATGAGGTTCCAGTATCAATAGAGTAACAAGCCAGAGGCCTTGTACCAGACCAACGAGTCATGGAAATGAACAAATTTACAAGAAAAAAAGTGTGGACAAAGGGTATACTGTGAGACATGCTGACACACTACAAATTATACAAGGAGATTTTTTTTCTCTGTTGTGGGGGATTACAAGGGTGAAGGCAGACATGAGTGGGGTTGGGGTGCATCATGTGAAACTCAAAAAGAACCAATAAAAAGTTTTAAAAAGTAGACGTTAGCTAATGAACCGCAGGCCTGAGGTGACTGGTAGTGGATTCTCCTACGTACAAGAATTTATCAAATAGCATCCCCAATTCTTGAACAATTTTCCTAAGAGTTCTGTCACAGGACTAAGTCATATTTCATGCCTTACTCCTCCTCCATGTTGCTGAGCCTCCTTAAATAGTGAAAGTCATTAAGGCTCATCACAATGCCCCTTGGAAGGTACTCTGCCGTAGGAAGCTCAATAGAATGTCCTTGGGGCCTCTTCAGGGTTTAACCCTCTGCTCAGCCCTCTCACATAGAAGCTGGAGCCGTGGGGAAATTCTACGGTAATTACCCTCAGCTTCCTAATCTCTCAGCATTTATAATTCTACCCATCCTGTCCAGTCTTTGCCTTCTACATTGCCAGCTTCCCCATCCTACTTTCTTTTTATTTCATAAAAGGTTTTTTTTAATTAAGATTAATAGCTCTTTATCAGTATTCTGCATGCCTATAATCCCAGCACATGGAAGGCTGAGGCAGGACAATCGTGCGTTCAAGCCCAGGCTAGACTATAGTGTTCAAGCCCAGGATAGACTAAGAGACCCTGTATACAGGGTTTTGTATACAAACAAGTATCACAGAGCCAGCAGCACTTTCATAAGTTGCTTTGAGAGCCTATCCCAGTTTCCCTGCCCTAATATCTGACAGCCTCATATTCTGTCTTTGCTGGTTCTTCCCCTCAGCCAATAATGCCCCAGGCCCCATGATCATGAAGAATGACCTTCCTTAATTGCTGTAATAATTCATCTTTTCTTCACATGAAAGTTTCCTTAAAAAGAGGCCACCATGGGTTAGTGTAAAGGAAAAAAAAAAAAAAAACCACATGAGACTGGAGAAAGAATTCCAATAATTGTGTGGAAAGATTTAGATAAAGAATAAAAGCAAGTACCACTGGATTATGAATGAAAGGTAGACCAGATGAGGAGGATTAAGGAGGATGTATTGGATGGGGACTGGGAGATGGATGGTGAGGATATTGAGACAGTATATGTGAAATATCTGCCCGGCCCAAGATAAATAAAGCAATTATAAATCTTTTTTTTTTTTAAAAGGCTTCATGAGAAGTAATTTTGATATCAGACTTCTTTAATCTGGTTAGTCTTCATTTACTGCCATTTACATATCAGATTTCTATTATCTGGTTTCTTCAACCATCCTATCAAGATGTACTCTTTTAAGTCAATAACAACTTAATTTTAT